TAAAACCCTTAGTTTGAGTTAGGGGTGAGTTAAAAAAAATTGTAATTGCTAATACCAGTAACAAGTAAAATTTTCATTACGTTTGACTCCAATCGAGCAAGATCCGACTCTTCTTTCTCCACTTCCTTGACCTTTAACCTCCAAAATTTAATAATATTGACGCACCATATATAGAAATAATTCTGACAAGTTTCAAAATATTTGGTTCGTCCAGTCCTGAGATATAATGCTAAATAGACCACAATACACAAAAAATTTTGTAAGGTTTTTTTTAAATTTTTGGTTCCTGGAGTGTCGAAACGTCAAGAAATGGAAAAAAAACCGGAGTGAGGGGTTAAAATTTCACCGAATTTCTATACGTTATATTTTATAAAAGTCGGGAATGTAGTACGTTAGAAACTGATTAATCCAGGTTCCACACTAACCAATGCGAACCTGTAAGTGAATACGTTTAAATAATGCTGAAATAAAGTTCGTAGCGAGTGTGCTTTGTCTAAATTCATTTGTATCGTTTCCAATGATTGGGCACGATTTTACGTGGAACAATATGTATTATTTAATTTAAATTAATTAGTTGTTAAAACTATAACCAGATGTCGGTAGTTGTAATATCAAATTTTTTAAAAATTTCAATAGCGTGTGTGATTTTTCACAATGGAATTATGGTTATTTCTTTTTTAATTTTTACTGTAAATTATATGTAAATACTTTATATTTTATAAATTAAAATGAATTTTAAAACCGCAAAAAATTTATTTATCATTAATCATTAGGCACATTTCTTTTATATTTCACATCTTTCTGTGACGATGGAAAAATAAATCAAAAGAACAAAATTTTATTTATTTATTTAATGCCTATGAGTTTGTCCCAAGACGTTTATGTGTTACAAAACATAAAACAGGCTTGTATAGCGATTTTTATCATTTCACTTTAAACAAAAATCCAGTAAGAGTCGCTTAACTTTCCCCGGCAACATTTGGTGGCGCCATCTGTTATCATATTTTATTAAAGAAAACTTTTTTTATACTTTTAATTATTATAAAATGGCAAAAAGCTTAATTCTGAGAATAGGAATAAGCTTTATAAAAAATTCTAAACGCTAATAACGAATAAAATCGTCATTAAGTCCTATCATACCTGGGATATACACGACCCCCTTTATCCTCCCACCCTGTCGACCTTTAATCGCCAAAATTTAATAGCATCAATCCCACTAATAAACAAATCTTTCTGAAAAATTTTAGAAATTTTCGAAAAAAAGCACAGAAGTTATTAAGCTTCAAACAGAGTGAACAAAATCGTGCCCGCCACATACACATCCATATATACAGAAATGCAATATATGGATGCATTGAAACCTCGAGTAATGCAAAAAAACTACAGTTTTTTTTGCATTACTTGAGGTTTCAAGTTTCCCTTAGTTGAAAAACGTAAAAATCCCGAGGGGTCGTTTTTTTGATGGCTTTGAAGGTCGTACTTTCCCTCTGTTAAGCCTATATATTACAGCCAGGAGAGTAAAAATTTGTTTAAAACTGCAAGACAAAGTCGGGATTGTTCTTAAAAGAAGAATTAATAAATAAAAATAAAAATCTCGCCTGTAAAATAATCAATAATTAGTTAATGAAATTGAAAATAGTCTCGGTTTCGGACTCACCTCCAAGGATTGAAGGTAGTATTGATGGAGTAAGAGAATGCAACACACGGTGTGCCGATGGCTTTCTCTGAATACTTTTATGGAAAACTGACCCCTACTTAGGCATTAGATACGTGAAGAGAACCCGGAAAATTACGTGGTCAGTCATTGATCAGGTGCCAACCCATAGTGTTAAATTAACTTGATGTTAGAAGATAATTGATTATTTGCTTTCCAACGAAAATCATCATTACAGTATTCTTTATAAATGCCGAATATAGTAAGTGACCATCAAATACTTTTACTAGCTTTTATTTAATTAATAAATATCGTATAGGCCTATTTATCGTTTAAAATGATATTTTGAAAAATCAGTTCCTATAAACCTTACCCTATATATTTAGAAAAGATCTTCCAAACATTAATCTCATCAAAATATCGCTTTTCTATACTTCATTAATGCAATTTTTCTCTGTGTGACTTGTCAATATTTTTAAAACCAGTTACTTTTTTTTTTTTAGCTGTGATAACAGTTAATAGTTCGACAAACTATCTTTTGTATAAATATCAGATATCAGCGCAGGGGTCGACAACCTATTCAGAGAACCACTTTGAACACACTAAATTGTTTGAAAATCAAGTGTTATTTAATGTAAATTCTATATAGTGATTAATTAAACAGTATTATGAATTTAAACCTACGTCTTATTTGATTGTATTATAAAAGCTTATTAAGTGATATATTATCTTAAGGATTGTATTGGATTGGTGGAAGAAGGTAACGAAACACATGGTCAACGAGTTGCCACGTGGAATTTTCCGGATTTTCTTCACGTTAGTAACACCTAAATATGGGCCAGTTACCATAAAAGACTTCCTAGAAGGCTTCCTCCTCGGCAGATGGTTTATATGTCCGTTACCATATACCAATGGTGCCTTCTGAAAGAACTTTCTATGAGAAAACTGGCCTTTATTTAAGTGTTGAACGTGTGAAGAAAACCCCACGTTGCCAATGGGTTTGCACTCACGACTCGTGGTTTTATCCACTTGGCCATATTTACAAAAAAAAAAACAACACAATTTTAAAATTATAGTAGAAAAAAAATATAATCCCGAACAGTAGTAGAATTTTTTTAATATTAAATATTGAATTTTAAAACATAGAAGTTAATTTATCTAATACGGTTGATAAAATAGAAATTATCATTTTTGAAATATTCATAAGGCGTATAATATATTTTCATTTATCTTATCATATTTTTTTGCGATAATTTTTAAATATTAAGCACCGGTTCATTTATCTGCCAGACTAAACGTTAGCTCGTCAAAGGACAATGGTTAGGAATTAGTTCCGTCTAGTCATACAGATTTAACACAGGATGTTGGTATATTATATTTTCAACCACTTGACGACTTGCCCCTTAAAATTCGCTGGATACGGACTATTGACCCTTATAGGAATATATTTTGCAAAATGGATAATATTCAGGATAAATTATAAAATTTTTCCTAATGGTCCTTTAGGGTTACCCATTTTTGGTTATTTACCATATTTACTTAGTAAACCTCATAATGCCTTTAAGGAATTAAATAAAAAATATGGCTGTTTATATAGGTAAGTATTATTAAGAATCTTACATAGTTTTATGTAAGTTTTATATATTTTAATTATCAAATATATTTTTAAAATATTTACAGTCTTTATTTGGGACGTAAACGAGTCATTGTTGCCTCAGATTTGGCATCTGTAAAGGAAGTATTAGAAAATCCAGAGTTTCTGGGACGTCCAGATATGTCTCCTATGCAGTGTATTAAAAGAAAAAGTAAACTATATTTAACTAATTTTCTTAAATTTTATAATATTTTAAAATAAATATAATAAAAGGATACATTTAAAACTTTATATGTAGCTTTTATATCACTTTTCTATTGATAATTATGAGAATTCATTCTCTTATCTTTCAGCCATATTATTTTATAAACTTCTATCTAAGCAGATTAAAATGTGTTTTGTTAGTAAAATTTTATAATTAGATAAAAATAATAAAATATTAAATATTTTTCACCAGCAATAAGTATTGTTAATGGAAGAGAATGGCGAGAACAAAAGAATTTCATCAGTTACCTTTTACGAGATATTGGACTTGGAAAATGTTTTATGGAAGCACACGTCAATGTAAGTTTTTCATCCTATTTTTTACTGTTTCCGTCTTGTGGGCACTAAAAAGGCTTTTTTCGGGCCTTCTTAGTGCCCACAAGTTCTCGAGTTATTGTGAGTCCACAATAGAGAGCTGGGTAGCTAGGGACAGGCAACTCGGGTTTTATATTCGATTTCAGTCACCCAGAACGGTAGGCAGACCCCTTGTAGTAATGTATTTAATTAATATAAAATTGCAGCGAAATTGTATTTCATTTTGATGATCTGTTCTTATTTTTTAGGACGAAATATTGGATTTCATTCAGATACTAGATAAAGAAGAAGGCAAAGCGTGCGATGTTGACAATTTACTACTTTCGAGTACTTGTAATGTTATAACAGCTTTAGTATTTGGACGTCGATTGCCACATAATGATCCTAAAAGGAAAACTCTAGATAACAGTTTGAAAAATATATATTCTATATTTGGTAGAACGGCTGCTTTATCCTTTACACCTTGGTTAACTAAGATCTTCATACGATTTGGTCTATTTAATTTTCAAAAAGCAAAGGATGCTACTTTGGAAATACACAAATTGATAAAGTGAGTAAAGTTTTTAAATCTTTAATTGGTTGATGCGTAATTTTATTATTTACAAAAATATGAAGTATTCAATGCGACATAATTCGCCAAAGCATCATTAAATCATTTATTTTTACTTACATAACCTTCTTATAATAAAAAATAAAATAAAAAAATCGGAGAAACTTGAGATATTTGATATATTGCTGAATTTCCTTTCGGAAAATCACACCGATGCTCTTCAATGAGCTGATTGACATGTGGCCCGATTCTCTTACAGAGAATATCACAAAGGATTTTACACAATAAGCAAAATTGACCGATTCCTCAATAATCAGAGCGATTCAAATGGTACTCTTTCTTATGAATTGAATATGTGATGCTCGTATTCCATTCTGTAAGAATCCGTTTCGAATTTCACATACCAGAGATAAACTCACGAATAGAACTAATTTGTAAGTAGCTCTGATCTAATATTCATGGGCATTTCTGGACCTAGGTTTTGGGTTTAAAGTCTTTTTCGATTAATGTTAATTTTACGTTCAAATACTCTGCATTCATTAGTTCTCTTTAGATTTGAATTTCGTTGAGCTTACTTTTTTCGAATGCCATTTCTTTTGTCTTCTCTTTTCTAGCGGCTCAATATTCCTCAATGGCACAATCAGTAAACATGTGTAGCATTTCTCTATCATGGCTTTATTAGCTTCTCTGAGTTAAAGTTTTCAGTTTGTTTTTCATGCTACTTTTTCGTCCATAAATATGTTTATTAAGTAATAATTAGCATCCATTACGAAATGTTCGATTTAGTTATAGTTTCTGCCATCTGATTTTTGTGATTTCCACGAATCTTATATACTATATGTCCTTATGTTGAAAGCATATACTGCCTAGAATTACATTGTATGCTACAGCAAAGCTTATTAGCGTGATTTTATTGATGTTGGACCTAATACGAATACTATGTTTTCCAATTACTGGCCTGACTTCATCCATATTTCCCACTTTTTCATTTAAATCACCAACGATTTTACAATTTTAACATCGTTACGGGACAAGCATTATAGAATTTAGTTACATTTTCAAAAAAAGGAGTCTTTTTTCATCTTTTTTACTTTCTTCGGTACGCAGACAATAGATAAAAAACACAGCTTTAATTTGGATACTTCAGAGTCATGGTGATTTAGCTTTAAAGCCTGTAATGAGAAGTTAGCTTATGAATTTATGACCAGATATAAAAACCATAGGGTCAGGAGGTCCCGATTAACTATATACGAACTTGAAAACTGGAATTTGCGTTATTTCAATTCAAAAGTTTTCTCCAACTGACACGACTCTATTGTTAAAAGATACGTATGATGTATGGAGCAAGCCACTACTAATTTGAGGTGGAGAACATATATTTTAAATTAAATAAATTAAAAATATGATTAAAAATTGCAGCCCGGCATTGTGACATGTCACAATAAATAATTACTCGTTTTAAAATATAATTAATTTTCAAATAGTAAATTAACTTGTTAAATGTTATAATTATTTTTAAATACAATTTATCCACGTTTTTACTTTTAAATAGAGCAGAAATTGAAGAACACAAGAAATTTTTAGATCCGCACAAACGTAAAGATTTTATAAATGGATTTTTATTAGAAATGGGAAAAGAAAATGCCGAGAGTTCATTTACTGGTAAAAATATTCATTTATTATAGAATACGAATAATTTACATGAATTATATTTTAAAATAAATGTATATTTTTTAGAGGAAATGCTCTTGGGGAATATTCAAACGCTATATAAAGTAGGAACCGAAACAATTCGAATAGCTATTGCTTGGTCTCTTTTAACAATGGCACACTATCAGGAAGTCCAGAAGAAAGTCCAAAAGGAGATAGATTCAGTCATAGGAAAAGATAGTTTTCCTTCATGGACCGATCATTGGAAAACTCCATATACAGTATCGGTAATGATGGAAATCCAGAGATGGAAAACTACTGTCCCATTTAATCTATTAAGATAGTAAGTTTTAAACCAATTAATATATTTTAAAGTAAATTACGAACACTTTTAATTTTGAATTAATCTTCGTTATTTAGTGCTCTGAAAGATACAACTCTTCAAGGTTATCAGATTCCCGAAGGAACTAATATTTTGATAAACTTATGGAGTGTTCATAACGATGATGCTCATTGGAAAAATCCAAATAAGTTCTTCCCCGAAAGATTTTTAAATAAAGAAACAGATTACGTAAAGAACGAGGATGCTTTCATGCCTTTCTCAATAGGTGAGACATCAAGTAGTTTTTAGATTTTTTTGTTGTTGTTTTTGGACCAAATAATTGAAAATTAATGAATTTTATAGGAAAGAGATCGTGTCCAGCAAAATCTTTAGCAAAAGTAGAATTATATCTTTATTTTACTTACATATTACAACGATACAAAGTGTCGTTTCCAGAAGGATTCAGTCATGATTTAGATGGTATAACTGGAGTATTTTATCGGCCGAAGCCATACAAATTATGTTTTACTAGAAGATAAACATGGCAAAATTTCTCATTATTTTATCATTGATAAATATGAATTTATGAGATTAATATCGATTTGTGGTATATTGTGGAAAGTGCAAGAATCGCGATTTTTTTAAATATTAGAATAGAAAATTGTATAGTTTTAGATATAGACTATTATTGTAAATCATTTCAATTTTGTGATAATGCATTTTTTCACAAAAAGTATAACTGCTTTATGTATAAAAGTGTTCATTTATTGATCAAATATACATTGTAAATCATATGTAATGTATGCATATTTAGAATTTTGATACTTTCATAATTGAAAATAAAGATTTAAAAAGTATTACAAAAAGGGTTTAATTTTTATATCAATTTCTAACATTCCATTGTTACATATTCTTTTGATACCTACAGTATTCCATTAGTATCAACAGGTATCACAGAAGCTTTCAACCAAAAACTGATTTGCCTTTTTCAATTGCTTTCATACCAAAATTTTTTACGCTTTCTTGTAATCCACCATCGGTAAAAAAATTCGAGATATTTTTCCACCAATCTTCTCCTTTCTCCATTGTTATTTCTTTGAATTTTTCCACTGCTTTCATGGCCTGATCGACTTTTTCTTGTCCTTGTTTCTTAGTTGCTTCTGCCATATTTTTAAACATATCCATAACTTTGCTCGGGATATCCGATGGACTAAGCGATTTCTTCTCATCTTCGGCTTTGGCAGAACATAAAATTAATCCCAGCAACAAGGAAACAATGCAAACTCGATTCATGTTGTTGAAGTTTCTGTGGAAAAATATTTCGTATTTTAATTTATTTTTAAGACTGTTTATTAATAAAAATTAATAAGAGATTTTACTATTAATTAATGAAGATGATAGAAATATTTATTATCAGCAAATAGCCTAGAGGGTATGCAAATTATAAGAATTCCAACGATAATAATATAAATTGTATCTTGTATATATAAATATATTCTTACTTTTGATACAATTTTATATAAATTTATGTATATATGTATACATAAACACATACTTACTTAAACAAGTATATACATACACTTACAACCCAAACACACTGCTGAAATATTGAACTATATATGCAACCACTTCTAAATTTATTAAGAACAAACAGAATATTCTTTAATGTTCAATAATATACTAAATTAATAATATGTGACCTCAAAATTTATTTCGGTTTCATATCTTAAAGTTTTAGAATTATTTTAATGCCATTTCTTTAATTAAGATTACAGCATTATGTTATACTTTTATATAAAACAATGGCGTAACTAGAAATTTTAAAAATATAAAAAGGTTTTAATAACAAATGGTACATATACGCAATTTTAATGTTGCCGGGAAAGTTAAGCAACTCGATGCAAAATTTTTTAATCACGTATTAACGCATAATCATACAGATACAATACTCTGCACTGGAACACACGAACACATCTACCGAACTGACAATGAATTTAATCTAATCGGCACATCGATTTTATTTTCTTATTTTTCATATAGGAATACATCCTATAATTAATATATA